CCGCAGCTGCCGCAGTTCCGCACGCAGTACGTGCGCCGGCGCTCTCAGCTGCTGCGGGAGCGGGCTCAGGGCGGGCACCTGGCGGGCGATGCCCGGCGCTGGTACCTGCGGCTGCGGGCGCGGCTCCTGGCCCAACGGTACGGGGCATTGTCTGAGCCTGGGAGCTGCCGCAGCGCCCTCCGAGCCAGCAGGACCACGCTCGACCGCATGGAGGTACCTGGGGGGGTCAGAAACACACCTGGGCACACCTGAGAGGGTTTGGGGTACACCTGGACACACCTGGGATAGGTACATGGGGTTTGGGACACACCTGGGATACACCTGAGGCAGTGGGGACACACCTGGGACACACCTTGGTACACCTGGGTACACCTGGGATAGATGCACAGGGTTTGGGACACACCTGGGATACATCTGGATACACCTGGGATACACCTGGGCACACCTGGGCACACCTGGGGGGGTTTGGGACACACCTAGGATAGGTTCATGGGGGTTGGGACACACCTGGAATACACCTGGACACACTTGACGGATTTAGGACACACCTAGGATACACCTGGGATAGGTACACGGGGTTTGGGATACACCTGGGGCACACCTGGACACACCTGGGACACACCTGGGGCACACCTGGACACACCTGAGGGATTTGGGACACACCTGGACACACCTGGGATGCATCTGGGCACACCTGGGATATATCTCGGTACAGCTGGGATACACCTGGGGACACCTGAGCTACACCTGGGACACACGTGAGGGGATTTGGGACACACCTGGGACACACCTGGACACACCTGGGCACACCTGGACACACCTGAGGGATTTGGGACACACCTGGGGCACACCTGGACATACCTGGGACACACCTGGGCACACCTGGAAGGCCCCGCCCCTGTTTTGAGAAGGCTCAGGGCGCCCCTGGGAGGGACAGTACCCATTTGGGGGGTTCCCACCCCATTCTGGGGGCCCTGGGGTGATCCCACCCCATTTCTGGGGGTCCTGGGAGTGTCCTATCCCATTTTATGGGGTCCCATCCCATTTTTTGGGGGTCCCTCCCCAATTCAGGGGTCCTGGGGGGATCCCAACCCAATTTGGGGATCCTGGGGTGGTCCTGTTCCCATTTTTCAGGGGTCCCTCCTCAATTCAGGGGTCCCTCCCCATTTTTCGGGGGTCCCCACCCCCCTGACCCATCTCCCCCTCCCCAGTTTGGGGGTCCCCTCCCCCCTGACCTGTGTCCCCCTCCCCAGGATTTCGAGGAGGACCCGCGGGGGTCCCGGGGGCACCGGCGCTCCCTGAGCCGCAGCT